CAAGCGGCGCAAATATCGAGAAATTGCAAAAAATGCAAAATAGAGCTATGAGGTTCATATTAAATAAGCGTTACGATACACCTACACAGGAGATGATCATGCTATGAAATTCGTATACAACATAAAGAACGGTAAACTTCCAGACTATCTGAGCGACAATCTTCGGTATATAAATGAAACTCATTCATATATACTCAGGGAAAACAATTGCTTTAGACTCCCACTTTATAGAACAGAGGTAGACAAAAAAAATATATTTTATAAAGGTTTAAAGTGTTTTAATGAGTTACCGCCACATGTAAAAGACTTTGATAACTTTGTTGCTTTTAAAAGACAACTATTTGATCACTGTAAAACTCTGGCTATTAGGTAGGAGAGCACGGAACGGAATGGAAACCAGGCCTTTCCATCCGACCAAGCAGCAAATGATCTAGCATACGAGGACTTCCGACTATGCCCAACAGCCCGACCATAACGCGGAGCGGAAACTAGACCTTTCCGCCCGCCTCACATCACGGAATCCAGCGTCAGGGTTTGCATATTAATGACGGCGGGAACATGGATCGGAGACTCGGCCTTTCCGACCGTGACTATCAACTCGTGAGCAACGCGGAGCGGAAACAAGGTCTTTCCGCCTGCTGCACATAGTACATATTTAAAGGTAGACTGGAGACTGGGCCTCGCCAGCTACCAAACTAGTTGGACAATATACGTTTATATAGGTTATTTGATAGTTTTAGAAACATAAACAGCTTTGTAATTGAAAATTTAAACTTACATATACGCATACTTTGTTATATATTAAAAATGCCTATCTGTACTTTTAAGTCGCAAGACTGTAACAAATAAATAAATAAATAAATAAATAAATAAATAAATAAAAATTTGTTGAAAATATTTTAATGCAAATTTTTTAAGCTTAAATTTTTTTGTCATCTGAGTTGATTTTTTTTCAACAATTATTTTAAAAAACCTATTTTTATTCATAAAACAATAAATTTTTGGAGGTATTTAACAAATCGGTCCAGCCCCCGTCTTAGCGCAAGTCTTAAACTATAATTAATACTATCACAGAATCCATCAAAGTATACACAACGTTCGTAGCAATTCGTATTCAGTGATCGCATATTCGTAGATTTCACGAAAAATCGGACTACGATGGACACTGTGATGGCCCCCAATAGATTTTATAATTCCAATGGGAAAACAGTACCGATTTTTTTTGAGCGTGGATTGCTGCAGTCTAATATACATAGAATCAGTTAAAATTACATTTTCAGGATCGAATAAGGCCCAACCAATGCGTCAATTAAATTGCAATGATTTTTCTAAATTTTATTTGTTAAAATTTATTATAGTTATGTATATACATACATATATTTTTATTAATGTACTTAGTTACATAAACATAGATAATTGTTATATATAAATATCGGGGCTGCAAATCGGTTTTGAACCGAACCGGTTTTTGAACCGAACCGTCGCTTTTTCCGGGCTTCGAACCGAACCGTTTTTAATTTGAAATGTCAACACCGATTCGAAAACCACTCCCAAAAATGGTTCGGTTCGGTTCAAATTGAAAATCTCCAGTAACATTTTTCAAGTTTTGTAATAAATATCTTTGTCAAAAAACCCGTATGGTAAAACTTAAAAAAAAAAAATTGTTTGATGAGTTGTAATTTCGCCCATATAAAGAATGCTTAAAATGTTTTCATATGGAAGAAAATGCTTAAAAACGCCATAAAAGAAACCAACAACTTATGCGAATTTTAAGATGATCAAACTTGCACTTAACATATTACACTAAAATTGAAGGAGCTATAAAACAGCATACTCGGATTTGTTTAGTTCTGATACAAAATTTGTACACTTTAATACAATTCGGTTGAAATTTGTAGATTTTTTCTCATTTTCGTACAAAGTTTTAAATTTCGATTTATATGGTTGCTGTTATACTTTCATGAAAAATTAATGAGCATTAAGCCAACTCAAGAAAAATAGTCAAATGTCGCACACCTATTATTTTGACCATACCAGTACATACTTACATTCATACAAATCATATCCTTATCTACTTAACAATTTTCTAATGTTTTAATAGAATAAAGTCTAAATGTACATATTTTTGGTAAAATTATGGGCATATTATTCTACTAAGTATAGATAAACAACATCCACAATTAGTGACTAGAAGTGATTGTAAGGCCTCTTAACATTAATAAATACATAACTTCTAAATGAGTATAGTAAACGTATGTATAGTATCTTAATTCTACTACATATGTATGTATGCACTACCACTACTTCACACTCCAGCAATTACTGTTGTGGTTGACCGTAAACATGCTCCACCGGTCTCGCACCCAATTGCTGCGTCAATGACCCACTTTCCAACGACGTAATCGAACTCAAACGTCCTGCAACTGCGGTTACACTGATTACAGACGCTATGCCATTTGTCATTCTTGACGATGCTGGCGGTCAGGCAACAATATCATTGGCGCCATTGTAACCAAAGTAATTCAAATTGAATTCATCGCTGAAGAGCACCTCCTCCGCACCCACTTGATGTGACATTTGTATGCCCAGTTCGAGTGGATCGATTTCGGTGACATAATACTGGGAGCTCGAATTATGGGAATTTGTATATGTAGCGGCTGGAAGATGTGTTGCATTCGTGCTACGTAGACCACTCTCATGCACAGCGACATCCTTGTGGATGGGATTTAGGTAATCTTCTGGTGTTTAAACAAAAGGAAGAGTGAAAGAAATTTAATTACGTTTTAGTCCATTGACCCTTAGCACTAATTGCCACTCACCATTATCCAACAGCACATCGTGATAGGTACTAATAATTGAGTTCACCGATTGCACCTCTACCTCGCGATGTATGCCATTCAGAATTTGTCCAGCCGTTTTGCGGAGCTCTTCGTCGCTCATCAGATCGTTGAATGGCAATTCATGGACCAACGATGTGCTCTCTAGTCTGTGATTGTTGTCCGTAGTTGTGTTGCATCTCTGCCCGCAGGTCTCTTCGCTGCTGCTGCTGTTGAGCATTTCTCGTGTAATTGTGGCGGCTGCTGTTGCCGCTTCATCATAGACGCATTGTTGCTGGGGTCCTTGTTGTTGTTGCTGTTGCTGTTGCTGCTGCTGCTGCATTTGTTGGCAATCCGGATGTGGTGAGGTGCAACTTTGCCGCTGCTGCATTTGTTGTTGATGCTGCTGTAGGCGTTCACGATTCATGGACTCCATTTTGAAGAATAAGTCCAGTCGCTGCTTCTTCTGTGGAGAGGAGAGTAAATAAATAGTAAAAAATGCATCTTCTGATTCTGGTTGACAAGTGTTGTTCCTAAAACCTACATGTTCCCATGCTAGCACATTTTCTGCTGAGTCTCCACTGGATATTGTCCACAGGTGGCCAGCTCCTTGTGGCGCTTTGTGACCTTTGCGGAAATGCGGATTGATGGAGAGGTTATGTCGCACTGAATTCTTCCAACGATCATCGTTCGATTTGTAGTATGGAAACCGATCACTGTAATGTAAAAATTAAAACGGTTACCAGTGTTGACCATTTAGGCTTACAAATTTTGGAAGCATGAGGGATGAAGTGCTCCAATAAGCCAAAAAATGAACCACAAAATTCTTTTTCACTTTATTCACTCAAAACATAACATAAACACAACTTAAAACCAAACACAAAAAAGAAAATAAGGTCAAAACGTAAACTTCATAATTCTCATTAACGAAGTAAGACTTGATTATACATATATACAAATAGTAGTATATTTAAATATTTAATACTTAATACTTAGTAAATAAATAAATATTTGGTGCCTACACATTTGCCAAGCGTTTGGCCGAGCTGGACGGAAATGGACGGACTTACAATATTACGCCGCCTCCAAACGGCAAAATGTTTTATGAGAAGCTTTTTCAAGGCGGAAATACACTCGGAAGCTTACCATTGTTTGCCGAGGGGCGACAGCTGTTAGAAAAACATTTTCTTATTTAGATGCTGCTCGGACCAGGGATCGAACTCAGGTCCTGCAGAGTGGTAGTAAGCACGTGTAACCACTCAGCCACATCGTTCGTCGATGTGAATACTTAATATGACTACCTAGAACCCAGTGGTCCTCTTGAGTTCGACTCTTCGGACTTGCTTTCCGGAGACTATCTTTTTTAACATTGATTTTTAAGAACCAATAAGTAAGCAACATCGTGTCGCCGAATGCCATAAACACTCAAATAAACAGATGGTTTTTTCCTAAAAATTTCCCATGGGTGAGAACTATCTCGAAACCTGTTTTCGACGGTGCGGCCTACAGTTGCCCAAAGTAAACGATAATTAATTTTAAAAGCAAAAACTTAAATGACAAGACTACTCCTATACCAGTGTAGAGACACCCAATAGCGCAATAGCATTGAACAGAATATGGAAAGATCTCAACAGAGGGGGGGGTCAAAGTGGTGATGTACGCCTATGATGTTGTACTGACAGTAATGGGCCCTTTAGGCGACATACTCGAAAGAGTTCTGGAGAATTTGAGAGTTTCGGACACAGAAAGCCGGCTAAACGTAAACCCAGACAATACCGAATTTATGCTATTCACAAATAGAGGCAAAATACGCCAGTTCAAAGCACAGTCGCTGAATGGTTAGATGCTCAAACTATCTTTTTGCGCAAAGTATTTGGGAGTCGTGCTATACACCAAACTGAACTGCAAAATCAACATCGAATATCGTAGGCAGAAGGACTGCATAGCATACTACACCTTCAAGAGAATCTTAAGCAGAAATTGGGAACTGAAACCGAACCGATTGATGTGGATATATACCGACCGTCAGACTAGGAGATTCAGGCACGGAATAATCATCAATGAAATGGAATCACGGCAAAATACCGACTATATTTTATCTAACCTGAGCTTCAATAACATACAAGTAAGACTCCGCTTCCAACCAGAAAATAGTGTCGTAGAGACAAAGTGGCCGATTAAGGGCCAGTCTCTCGCTATACCGACGGTTCAAAGATGGACTGTGGTGAGGGTACAGGTGTGTACTACATTGAACTCGGTGTCTCCTTGTCTCTAATATACAGACTTGCAAAGTAGCCAAGACACTGTGGTCTGACTATAACAGGACGGAGACAGTAGACCTTCTTAACAGATCAAGGACAGAAGTATTGAGAATTGCAGCAACTATGAAGGATCACAAACAAAACAATTGACAAACACGCAGAGAGAATGTGGCTTGTCACAGAAGTGGTGGATTTGCTTTAATTTTTATAGCTGAATATGCTAGAATTTTATTTATAAGAATATTATTTTGTGTAATTTTTTTTGGTTGTGATTTATTTAATTTTTTATTTTATATTAAGTTAACTTTTATTTCATTCGTATTTATTTGAGTTCGTGGAACTTTACTTCGATTTCGTTATGATAAATTAATATATTTAGCTTGAAAATGTTTTTTACCTTTTTCATTGAATTATTTATTATTTTTTATTGGTTTTAAAGTGTTATTAATTTATTTAATGTGGTTAATTTAATTTAGCAAAGTTAATAGAAAATAGAATTTCTATCTTATGTTTTCAAAACGCAGCTGTCAACTAGAAGGTAGCGAAGAAAGTGTACAGCATTTCCCTTGTGAATGCCCGGGTCTAACAACTTTTAGTTATAAAGTATTAGGAAGACATATACAAGATATATCAGGATCTACTATAGGTGACATCGGCAAATTCATCAAGGAATCAGAATAGTTTGGCCGAGAAATCTAGATGTAGGTATTTATTATACACACGAAAGTGCATCAAAATGGCGCCAAACGCATTAATTGTAAGTCGTTTTGAAGAACTGCTACCAAACCCTATAACTAAATAAACTTCTTTCTACATATCGAAAAAAGTCAAATTACGAAAAGGGTTTCCATTCTTTTGTCACTTATTTCCATACATTTTGAGTTTAACAGCCGTATTCTGTACCACGAACGATAGGCAACACGAACGATTCGTCTGCGGACGACAACATCTCTGATTGTGATTTTATTACTTTATCGGTCGTCTTCGTCTTGCTTTTCATATATTGCGTTGAAATGGTCCCGGTTGCGTTTAAACCGGCAAGAATGATACCGCCGGAATAATTTTTGAAGCATTCCTCTGCAGACGAATCGTTCGTGTTGCCTATCGTTCGTGATACAGAACAAGGCTGTAAGTTTTTCTTATACCAATCTTTGAAGAAAGTTAACAAACAGCATCAAAAATCTCATCATTACGATTCCGTTCAATTTATTTTTAATTATTATTTTTTTTTTAATATTTTTATGCAGATTTTTAAGGTTAAACCTTTTTGTTATTTAAGGGGATTTTTTCAAAAAAAATCTTTAAGAAACTATTTTTATTCATAAAAAACTCCACTTTTGGAGGTATTTTCAAATTGGTCCAGCTCACGTAAATCTTAATATTTTTCCGTCTTAAAATATAATAGATTTTATAATTCCAATGGAAAAATAGTACCGATCTTTTTTTTTGTATAGGGAGTGATGCAGTCTAGTATACAAATATGTATGTACGTACCTTATGAATGTAAGTACATAACCATATTTATTACAAACATACTACATATAAATTCAATTTCCAACTTGTTTATGACATTTCCCGGCAATAAAGTTAAGTTGCCCCATTTTGTGTTCTAGGTACAATTTCCATTTCTTACCACCTATCCATCGTCAATCAAAACAAAGTTGACCACTATTGGCCAGCGTCGCAAACAAAAACTCATCAAAACTTTGACCAGTGGCAATTAAAGTTAAGCCAACTTTATATATTGTTTCCGCATGCGAAACTCCATTTCTCCCCATACTCACTTTCACTAAGTTATATACATATGTATGTATGTACAACCATACCCTGCAGGAAATGTATCTAACTATAAGCTAACTTTAAGTTAATTACGAAGGAGGTAAAAGTCACTATTATCTCTATATTTTCTTTGACGAAAGCTAACTACATGTCTGTGGCGATGGCCGCGAAATAGCCAAGGTTGGTTACCTCTGCATTTGATGTAACTAACTTGTAACTAACTACTTTTGGACATAAAATATCAATAGGATAAACAAATAATTTTTTTAATTTTATTTTTTTATATATTTTACTACATTTCATATTTTTTTACATATTCTGCTGTAGGTGGTCCCATATTCGAACTCCGTCAGACATACATAACTTAAAAATGATAATATTAAATTTCGATCTTCCTTTTATTTGTCCTCAATTCGAAAAAGTATTTGCGAAGTGCAGGGAATTTAAATAGAAACGCGTTTAAAGAAAACAATCTCCTGCACTACTCCTGCATTACTTGTCAACTAGTTTCAAGTTAGCTTTTTGTAGCTAACTACAAGTTATATATTTTATAGAAACCCCGAAAAAAACGTAGCTGCGAGTGGGTTATTTTTTTATCAATTGATAATTTTTTTCTGCAGGGTAGTTTATGTTTAAAAGAAAGGGGGTTGAAAGTATATGAAATATACATACAGAGATGTGTGTAGCTGCAGAAGTATGTAGGTTAGGGTATCCCAAAATTATTTTGTTCCAAATGGCGTATATGCACCATTATTCTTTAGTTGAAATTGGCCACCGTCATTTAAAAAAAATTTATTATTTCGGTTATGATTTTTTGTTACATTTGAAATCATAACGTCAAACCGAACTGAACGCGGGTGGAGCTGCGGCCTAAACATTTTTTTTTTTAAATTTGGCTTTTTGCATTCCCAAGAAGCTTCTACTAAAACCCATCTTCCCTATAAAAATTAGAAAACTAACTGAAAAATTAGCGAACTTATGCCACTTTTTAAAAAGCCCTAACTGAACGAATGAAAATAACTACATTCGAGAAAGCCGCTATGAACGAAATATTTATAGTTTGTCTAAAGTGGGAAACTAATCCAACAACTCAGAGAAGCGGGTGTCGAAATTGGAAAATGTTAATTTTCTTTGTAAATTATATAACTAAGTTTTATACATTACTAGCGGTACCCCGGTGTGCTTCTCTACACCAAATATTGAAAAATATAGAAAAATGAATGAAAAATCCTGGACTTTTTCTTTATTAATTTTTTTTTACTATATTGCAGCCATGTTTATACTTGACTTAAATTAGCCGAAGAAAAAATAAACACAGCATATCATAGCAACAATTTTTCACTATATTTTCGATTTTTCATGTATCTGCTGTTGTACCATATACACACGTGGTTCATGTGACAGGCATAAACTGTCATATATCATGAACCGATGGACTGAATTCGGGCACACTTCATATAACTTAATATAATCTGCATGATAGTCCGAATATACCGTTTATATTTGGTAGAATTCGTGCTCTTATTTTTTTATTTAAGATGTGAGGTACCACGCCCCCTTTTCCGAAACCGCACATTTTTCTCCATGAGTATGGAATTATTCCATATGTCTCTATACCAATTTCCAGTAATCTACCACAAATATTTCAAGAGATATATCAGATGAAAATTTTTGTT